CAGAGCTCCTGTGTCGAGCACTCCTGTAGTGAGCACTACGCCTTCACCGACTGGGGCTGCAGCGTAAGGAAGCATCACCCTTTCACCTCGGGCGCATTGTCTTTAGGTTTGTCACCTCGGAAAATGGTGGTAATATGACACGTCGGTCCATCACAATTGACCAAGGTCCGGCGGCTACTTATCATGTCAAGTTGAACACGGGTGAGCTAGCATGTAGCATCGATGAGTATTCACTTCTGCTGTTGAAGTGTTGTTCACCTGGACTCAGCATGCATGGTCTCGGAACAGACTTGTATCCGTTCATTTTCAGCGTCGTTGAATCCTAGACCTGTCGAAGGTTTTGGGGGTGCATTCACAGCGGCATCTGGTGTGAATTACAAGAAGTTGAGTGATGATGATAAACGCAAATTCATCGAATTGTGAGTGTCTGTCCCAACATCCATGATCATGATGATGATCTGTCGGTGTAGGTACTTTGGCCAGAGTGGACTCCGCTACACTATGGGTAGAATACCAATCAACTCGTGTGACTTCAGTCCGTACACTTACAACTTTGACAACGTGTCTGATGACTTCGCTTTGGAGCACTTCGATGAGTCCTTGAAGGGAGATGAAGACACTGGTATGATTCAGCTCATGCACGATGCTTTGGGGAAGGCGTCATTGAAGCTATTCGGTAATTTACCATTGGCGTGGTATGGACGAACCTTTAGTGTACAGGAAGCCCATGGTCCCCACCATACTGGATGAAGGCCGGCGATCACAGTATGATTGGCAGCGCTAATCCCTGCCTTAAGCAGGACAAGAGATACAAACAAGCCTGGGCGGACTACTTCGTGAAATGGGTATGTACTGTCGTGATTTCTGTTATGAACTCGGCCTTCAGATTCAATCTTATGGGAAGAAGAAGATACCTATTTGGGGAGTAACGCAGCAGAACGAGCCCGAGTGAGTTGTCCACGGTGTGGTATTCATCGGTCACAGTTGAAATATTCAGATTCTATTTCAACACAAGATGGGAGGCTTGTTCGTACGACCCTGCCAACCAGACCGAATTCATAAGGGACTATCTTGGACCAACTCTGAACAAAACATTCGGGGATAAAGTGAAGATCATGTACATGGATTATACCAAGGACCACTTAATGGAAGTGTCAGATGTCGTTTTACAGGATAGCAAGGCTGCTCAGTGAGTACAGCATGCGTTCTTGCCCAACGGGGCGGTCCCTGCACAGTGTTGGAGGAATATATCTTCGTTTTCCTCAGGATTTTCCTCACTAATTATAGAAGTTTATATATGAATTCGGAATTATATAACCTCTCAAAATTTCCACAGGTTTTTTCATAGTGTCACCAACATATGTGGTTGAT